CAATTTCGGTTTGTGCGAACATGATTGAGAGAAGATATGCAGTTACTTTTAGTTATAAATAAAACAACCTACTCCCGAGCAGCTCGATATCATCAATCTATATCACGGAACTGCCAGTGGATTGAAAATAAAATCAAAAAAGCTCGAGAAATAATATATGAATGATGCAGCAGTTCAATAACAAAATGAGAATTCAGAATCGAAAAACTCTTTTGTTTTTTGATAACGTATGATTTCTTCCAAGGGAATTAAACTTAACTTTTATAAACATTCTTCCAAATAGAACTGCAGCAAACCAACTCCTCGATCAATGAGCAACCCACAATAATTAAATTTTTTATGGGTCCTTGCTTCTAAAATACTTGCTATGTAAAATTGAAACTACGAGGTCACCTCAGAGCTGTCGAAATCTATTGATGTACTTGAATCTGTTTATTTTCTCAAACTTTCTTGACATAAAATAGAAACAACAACAATCTAAAATTGCTTCCCTGTAGCAGGATTTTCAAAAATTTATGAAACAATTTGATCCCAAAGATGAAATTCCATTTGCAATCCATGCTATATTTCAGGAAGGACTTCATTTAGCAAATGATTTTGACGATTTTCTCCAAATAGACACAAATATCTGCACTGATAACAACAATGTTGAAATTCAATTTAAAGCACAATATTATGGACATAAGTTCAAAGAAAGAATCTAATGAAGAAATAAGTAAGCCCATAATATTGTACGATAATGTGTTAAGACTTTAACTTTATTCAAAATATCATGCCCGGTTATGAGAAAGTTCGCTATATTTATATACATATACTTAGGATTTTATAAACCTAGGAGTTATTATCTATTACCACTTTTGAATTGTAGCCGAGACCTCACCGGGACTTCTTTTCTTCAAATTGTTTTAATTTGTTGTTAATATGATAAACTTTTTTAAAATTTTTTGAATTGTAGATGGCAATTAATTGATAATCAATAAGAACTTATAAAGTACAGAGATTTTATATTCAAGTTAAAGTAAAATAATTTATTATTGGTATATACCTCTTCTATACTTTTATGTGATATGTCAGTATTGAGTCAGTATTCTATTTCTATTGCGGCTGAAGACCCCTGCTATGCAAGCATCTTGGAATATGAAATATAATATGTACTATGTTTAGAATTGAAAATTAGTATAAAATATTTAATTAACGAATTTTTTTAAACCAATTTCTGAATGAAACAAATTTTAAAAATAATTGAATTACGTTTAAAAAATGAGTAAATTACTACAAAAAAATTTTATTATTAATTTTTTTATTGAACATTATAACATTATTTTATTATTTCTTAATGAACAAATTTGTTAAACATTTTAACTAACGAATCAGAAACAATTAACTTCCAGTGATATGAACTGTTCTTATTAACTAATGAAATTTTTTTTTGGGTTGACCATACTGGTTTTCGATCACTAATTATATGTGGTCTTAATATATTCTCGTTTGCTCTATAAGTACGAATATAGTTGTTAAACTACTAGTAGCCTGATACTACTAGTATCAGGCTTAGTATCAGGCTTAGTATAAAGATGCAACACCAGAATTTCGGAGGCAATGGGCATATAGCGAAAAGTCTTGTAATCTGAAATTCACGCAATCAACTTATGTGTAAGATCCAATATCAACAAAAAACTGTCTGACTCTAGAATTGTTGTTTGCTCTGATAGTTAGGCTGCGCTTAAAGCTTTGTCTTCTTGCGGTTTCAAGTCGAGTGTTAGGAGCTTTTAGAGTTACTTGCAACACAGAATGAGGTAAGTCTAAGTTTAGGAAACGAACAAGCTGATGAGCTAGCCAGAACTACATCAAAACTGCTTTTACAGGCCCTCAACCCTAAATCGCCTGTAACCTCTGAAATGAGAAGTAGTATTTAAAAAATTCTATATTAGTACAAGAGTCTTAATTTGTTATAATTGAATTTAAAAATTAGATTTATTAAAATATTATTAAAATATCTGTTATGCATATATAGACTTCTTAACTTAATTTCTTTTTGTGATGGCGCTGCGGTTGTCACAGCCATTATTTCATTTTGTTAATATCTTAATGTAGTCCTGTGTCAGAATATGAAATAAGAGCAGCTGATTTGTTGGTCTTTAAACAGCTGTGTTTTTTTTAAAGATATAAAGGATCTCCTTTGACTAAAGGATCTACCATATTTGCTGTGTTCTGCTGCTTTGGGAGTCCGCAATATGAAAGCGTTGCATATAACATTTATGAATTTATTTTTCATATATTTCAGTTAGACAATATTATTCCTTCTGAATAAAGTTTTAAAACAAAGTAAAGTTTTGAAAATACGAACGGCATAAATACAATCATTGAATCTATAAATAATAAATCAATAAGGAATACATATTAAATTATTTAAACATTGGCAATCACATATAAATTTATTGCATTGATTTCTGAAACAGAATAAACATTTTACTTCAAATGTTTAAAATTCTATTGAAATAGCATAATTTATGCGCATTTATGGCTTATGCCTGTTCGCAAAGTGCTGAACTAAAATATCTGTGAAAAATGTATTAGATGTCCTATCTAATATATATATTTATATGTGTTAACATAATTATATACATATATAAGTACATACATATATCTTCATATTTTCATACTAGTTTATTCACATTCATCATTTACACGCATACCACGAAGATGTAAGTATACGAGTACGTCTGGAATTTCTGGCATTATTTCACTATGGCTTTAATAGTTTAAATAGTTTAAATTATTTTATCAGTGATTTATTCACATATTGTCATGAATCGTCATGCATATAAAATTTATGTTAACACAAATGCCATTTTATGCAGATGCATTTTTGCAGTAACTATTTTCATTTTGTCCTTTAATTGCTTTAAAAATATTTAGAAGTCCTATTACATCAATATTGAAAGTATTTAAAAGGAGTTTACAAAGAAATTTCATATAGTTATTAAAAGGGAAAAGGGTATCTGATGAAATCAATTGTAAGAAGGATTACGAACTTTGTGTTTTTAATATATATAATACTACATCATAAAGGTAATAAAAATTAAGAATATGTCTCCAAAAAGACCGTCAGATTTCTACGGAGTTAATACTTTATTTAACTACTTAACTCAGGAATGGAAGGGAAATATTCTGACTTCTAGAAGGTTCTAAAAATCTTAAAACAATCTAATTTATTCTTAAAGAACAATTGAAAACTATTTCAAGTCTCAAAAGAAAAGTTATAAAAATTTGCAATAAATTAAGTACAGCACTAAACGTCAACACTTAAGCATCAAGAAAACTGATTTAGGTAGACGACGATGAGTAGTTTATAGGAATCATCACTACGACAATTAGGAAAATTTGAAACACCTACGTACTATATATAAGTTATATATTGTTACGACCGCAGGCCTGTCCAAAGCACGGTCTGCGGGTCACATGCGGTCTTCGGCTAATGGTAGTACGGCGCGCGACAAATTTTTTATTAACTACAATTACGCAAATTATCAGTTGGTGTACTGGTAAAAACACATTATTTTATTTTAATGGTATGCCAAATAAATAAAGTAAAATTAATAAATTAATAAATCTAAATTTAACATATTCGTATTTTTATTCTTGTCGGAAACAACTATGAATGTATGTATTTATTTTTGCGGCCAGTGATTTGTATTGGCCCACAATCGCATCTATTCTGGACAGCCCTGATCTAGGGTATATAATTGCGAATTACGAACACTTAGATGAAGTTAAATCTGTCATGAGTTCGATTTCTGTTAAATTTTTCTGCAACTTTAACTTATATGACTTGGATAAAAAACTTAATATGAGAGGTCCTTAGGTCATACTGTAGACACAGTCTAAATGTCAATTTTAATAAAACCATAGATAAACTTGCTTTTAATAATGCAAGTTTAATTTAACATTAAAAGATTGAGTAAAATCAAAAATTATCACTTAAAAAATTCAAACTCTTACGATCATAACTTGAAAAGTGCTATAAGTGAGTCTCTTAATTAAACACAAAAACTGTCCAAAATAATAATCGTAGATATTTCTCTCAATAACTCAAAACACGTACTCATCGAAGCACAATAAAGCTCGCTTACAAAATCTTTACTTTTACGGCATATAAAAATTACCACGTGCGGTCATACAGACTTGTATGGACCGCTACGTTAACATTAAAAGATATTTAAGCTTACAAAAAATAATCAATAAGTCAAATTGCAGTTTATATCATAAAACATTTTAAATTGTGTGAAAATCCATAAAACGTAAATCGCTTTGCCGTGCTAGCAAGAAAAAATGATAAGAACCATACAACAACATCAGAAATTAAAACTTTCCGGCCACCTCCAATTATTTACGTGAAAAGTGCTCAAGTATGCGTGTGAAGAATCTGACCAGATTAATCGACTCTAAGCCTTTCTACGTTAGTCTTCTTAAAAAGGTTCAATGGAAGAAGTGCAGATACAATCTGAAAACAAAAACCACATCCGTACATTTATTATCTAATAAAAATCTCCAAAAAATTTTATACAAATCAGCTTAAAAGTAGCAAGGGAAAATCAGTAGTAGTTAGAGGAA